AGTAGAGCGAAAGTGAAAGAGACGTGATTACAATCCATTGCAACTATGCAGCCTATAACATTATATTATTATTCTGTAATAATCAAATTATATCTTGCTGTCAAAATTGGAAGGGGAAACCATCTATAGGCTCACCTTCAAGTCATATAAACCAAAAGGTGTTCCCGTATGTGCCCAGCATCGATGATAATTCAGGAGTCAAGTGTTCTGAATTATCTCTTGTGATCTTTCAGCAAATGTTCTTTGGGCACGAGGAGGAATCCTTGGGCAAACAGATCACATTAACTCAAAGACAGCGGTATTTTTGTCTTCCAAATTAATCTGCATGAAGATGATGATTCTTCCTTCTGCAGCGATTAACATACCAATATGCATGCTTCTGTAGGCCCATGCCAATGAGAACCTTGAGGCTTGTGAGCATAACATAGGTCATTGCTGAGAAAAGAAGCACCCAGAAAAGCCTCCATGGAAGGGGATTGGGAGGAAGGTTTGCAGCATATACTGGAGTAAGAACTCGAATAACCTAAGAATGAGTAATTAAAGGAAAACGTGCACAGCTGTTGAATCAGCAACCAAAAAACCAGAATTAACCAAATGGATATTTAAAATCTTATATGCTTACCACACATGCTGGAGCAAGGGGAACAAAAGTCAAGTTTTTCTTTGCACCCTCAGTTTGCATATTTAGAGTCTACAGAATGGAACAGTCAAATGTCAGGCCCATATTCTTCAGAAAGCTCCATCAAAGAAAAGGGACGAAATGTTGATGCAATTTGATTGTTATAATATAAAGATTCAGAATTATACATCATTCTTATCAAAGTAATAATAAGCTTTCTCAGGCATCAGGTAAACATCACATTGGGCCAGTTTTAAACAAACAGGCCCATTATTGCTTTTGACATACTACACTTCCATGCACAAATGCAAAAGAAACTGTTTCATAGTTAAAATGAATTCACTATGGAATCAAACTGTAAAGGCAAACAGATAAAATTGAAAAAATGAAATCAATTAATGAATTGTAAAGAAAAAAGACCAAAGTTGTTTTTATAGAGAAATTGAACTGTATTTCTGTAACAAAATAGGATATAAACTTTTTGCGTTATAGCTTATTCCAGCAAAGGATTTCAAAAGGCATCTCTGGTTGAATCGTGGAGACTCTTGGTGCATTCAGATATGTTGCTTGTAAAATCAATCAAGTTTTCAGCTTTAAATTGCAATTTAAATGGAGATATAACAATTTCTTGCCGAAGTGGTTCCAGTTGTCTACACCACTTTAATAGTAAACAATCAACGTAGTATAAATAATATCAACATGAAATCAGATGATAATACCTGTTTACATAGATCTTCAAGGAACTCAGAGTATGCGATGGGCTTAATGTCATTGAATTTAGCAATGAATGAATGCTTGATAATATCAATAATCATTTCGCATACATAAACCAAGAGGATATTCTGCACCATCCAAAATATGTCAGGAACAAGCTAAACCAAACTTCTCTGATTAATGATATTATGAGTTAAAATATTTCCGAATCTTACAACGAGAAAACTTTCAAACCAGGGACCCTCTGCCTCCAGAATATTTTGAGCCAAAACGAATAAGATGAATGATGAAATGTGGAATCTCTCCACGGAATCTGCTTGTCACCACAAATAAAGGGGGGAAATAAAAAGAATGTAACTGTCAAATGCAGAACAGATATCCCTATTAAACTCTTGCTCATTTCAATAAAAAAGAACCAGATAAAAAAGTATCAGGATCTAAGATTAGATATACATGTATTGTATCGAAGTTTGCCCTATCATAAATTTTACACAATTATTTTGCTAACGGGCTATTTCATTCAAAGGAGAGTAGGGAAGTGAAGGAAAACAAAATCCTCCAAACATTGGAAGGGAGGCAAAAAATGGTGGAGATGGATTTTCCCTTTCATTTTCGCATCTCTTCCCTCCATACTTCTGAACCATACATAGGTTTTTATCAAAATCTCTCTTCACTCCCTGTCCAACAGTTAATTTTTTTTGCAAAACCTATATACAAATAATAAATGGGATCAAGACAATGCATTTTACTTTTAATGTAAACTAGAGATTAGAAAATTTTAACCCATAGAATGCCTTAAAATTATGGATTCTAATATTATAGTTAAAAAAATTACTAAAGAAGTGTTTTAGTTTTATCACATTTTAAAGATAATTTCATACATTTTTTCCCACATCCAAGTATGATTTCAAACCAGGTAGTGTAAACATTTCAATCAAGTGTTAATTCATGTCTGAATTCAAACTATAAAGAATTCACAAGGCAGACAAACAAGTTTATGCAAAGACCATGTTTGGGTACACAGGAATGATAAACTCCAATTCAATTCTTCTCTGTGCAATTAAAAGTACATGTTTGGGTACACCGGAATGATAAAGACATATCCACAATTATCTAGCAACCAGGATTTAACTAATGATTTCAAGTACCACGTGTATAAATTATATGGAATAAAGTAAAATTTCCTTCCTGAATATACAATTTTTTTCATTTTAATTTAAAAACATTTCATTCTCATTCTGTCTATTAAAATACTCATACTGATTGAGTCAAACAATTAAAAGACATATCCACAATTATCTAGCAACCAGGATTTAACTAATGATTTCAAGTACCACGTGTATAAATTATATGGAATAAAGTAAAATTTCCTTCCTGAATATACAATTTTTTTCATTTTAATTTAAAAACATTTCATTCTCATTCTGTCTATTAAAATACTCATACTGATTGAGTCAAACAATTAAAAGCAAAATCTTTCTCCTGATCATATTTATGTTTTTTTGTGCCAAAAGGAGGCAAAAATGGCTACACCCTATATTCTAGATTGAAATAAGTGTTCAAAGTAAAAATCACTCAAGCTTTAAAGTTCAAACATCAAAAAACATATGACTTGGTAGACATCATTGATAAAGGCAGGCATATAACCCTAAACAAATACTGTTAACAAAACTAGCTCAAATAGTATACTGAAAATGAGACCATAAAATTTTATATACAGGTGGCTTCCATGTTTGAATGAAATAGTACAAAAAAGAATACCAAATAAATTGAAATTAAAGAAAGAAACCATTGTAGGAAGTATAACTTACCAAAGTAAACTAAACTGTGAACATTATCCTTGCTGTATCGCTTAAAGACATTGCTTTTGATCTCAGCAAAATTATTGGACACCAGCAAAGCTAACAATGCGTTGTTGTGAGCAACTATACAGGTTGATAAAGTGATTGCCTGAGCTAATAAGATAAAAGAATGAACAAGTACGGCTAGTTAAGGAATCAAATCAGCAGCCCTGTTGTTTATTCTTTTTCCGTCACAGAAGAAAACAGTTAAACAAACAACTGGGGGAAAAAACAAAGATGAAGGATATTTGAAGCAGCCACAGCTAAAGCTTGGTCAGAAACAAATCTCCAAATCCAGAATCTCATACTTTCTGGGGGGCAATTTGCAAGTCCTTCAGCAGAAAGAAATAATGTTTGCAACACATCCCCATTAAAACTTTGACATAATTTGTCAAATATCTGCAAGAAGTTGAAAAAATCAGTTCCAAATATACAGTATAAGTTTCATTTTTGGAGCATTATGATATACAACACTTCAGCAATCAAGAGGCAACTAAAAAAGCTATGGCTGCTTGGATTACAATTTCAATACTTGTGAACTAAACTGTTCAAAACTTCAAACACCAGAAGGCCGCTGAATACCCTATGCATGTTTCAAACAACTATTACAAAATCATTTACACAATATCCGTCCTGCTCCTTTGTCACATTTTCATTTTGAGCTGTCCCAAATCTCACCTAAAGCCAATACAAGTCTGCTATTTAAGGAGATAGCATATTGATACTAATAATTTCCAAATACAGCAATATTTTATCTCATCTCATGTAAGTTTCATGGTTTACAAATTCATTACAAATCAAAATTTTATTATTCCATATTGTTTGAAATTCCCTTACTTTGTCACCACCAGATCTCGTTCACATGAATCCCATATAAAACAATTATAATTTAATTAGAATGCAGTTAGGTTTTTACACTTTCATCCAATTATGGATTTCCATATATGGCAAGATTGTTGAGTTTTGTTATAATTACTTTAAAATCATATCCAGGGTGATTTTTAGTTGGTTAGCAGTGCAAAAATCTTTATTCTGACAATGTAACAAAATTAAACTCAAATATTCACTTTGATTGAAATTTGGAAACGTGGAGAGCTAATTATTCACCATAATCCAGACTAATAAACTTATGCTCACCTCTAAAACATTGTAGACCACATATAATTTTATTGTTCCCTGACCACGGATCATGTGATATATTAAGCTGATATCTGTTGCAGCACATTTGAAAAAGGAAAAATAAAACAAAATTAGCATAATATTAAACTTGAACAATATAAAATAAGGAAATGATATAACATATACTCATGGAAGCAGAACAACTGGACCTGTTCGCTGCAAAAGAACCACTCCAGAACTCATAATAAGAAAACAGCCAAAATCTGAAATTTCCATTGTTGACAGCCTCTTGAACTGCCTGTCATGAGCATTGTTAGGCCACATAGTAATACTGCCAACCATAATAGACTAGCACAAATTTTAAAATAGAACATGGATTGGACTAAAAAAGAGAATACAAAGTCAAACCAAAGAATGTGCATATTTTGTATCAGGGAGAGATTGGTCTCATTTATTCAGCTAATTGAGAATCAGGGACTAATAAAATCTAGATACAAATTAACAACCAAGACCTGTACCAATAGAAAGTCTAATTGAACCAGCTGCTTATTTGGAATGACGTGGTTCAAGAAAAACCACTTTGTTCTGTCATTCAAAGATTTATGGCGATATCTGAAGCACTCTAAGATTGCAGTACTAGATGGAAACTGCTTACATGACAAATTTAAATTAAGGAAACGTGCTGTATGGCTAATCTATCGCCTAAATCCTCACATCAACTTGCATGCACAACTAACATTTTATTACAAAAGGGGGATTGAGAAAATGTGGCAAACCTTGTCTTTAGAAGCCTCCAAATAGTCATCATGATCCTCGCTGGCATAACAGTTAATAATGAAAGAAATGAATCGAAGCAGACAAAGAAGCCAACATCTATAAGCTGCAATTGCATTCCACGTTTAAGATACAACACAAAATGTAGAATGCCTTAGTAGAAATATACAACTATAGGTTGGCTTTTAAACATTAGATGGAAGGTTTAGTTTTACACTTTTTCCCCAAAACCTGTGAACTTATTCTGATTATTTTGAATGTAAACACAAGCAGTTCAGCCTGGAGTGGAAGATCCATGGCTAACAACACAAAACTGTAACCAGGGTTCCTTTTTATTTCTTTTTGCTAATTAACAGAGAAAAGGAAGTATACCAATTCGCATCTCCACGGCAAGCGGAAGATAGTGTCATAAACTTTCTCTCGTTCTTTTTCATTCCCAAGGGTGGTTGTGCTCCGTAAAGAATTTCCATTGTGCATTTCCTCCAAAAAGTATGCTACAGGAGACTTGTCCACTGAAAACACATCTGACATCAAAACACACCACTGGGTAAGAAAATCAATCAACAAATCGCTTCAAGCGAAGAGGACCACACAAGACCATTTAACTATTTTTCATTCATAAATGAGCATCTGGAGAGCAAAATTAATAAGAAAACAGGCAAAATCTTGTATTCCTGTCTAAACCGCCTATCGTTTTTCACTGTCAAGCAAGATCTTAAAAAACGGTCCGACAGTGCAATTGCAGCCGCAACGTTATTGTTCCGCCACTTCAATAACGGCCACATTTCTCTGCAATTTTCTGTATTATTAATGTTTTTAGGGTCTTGACAACTGCAATTTTGCAATATCAAAATTTACGACCCAACAGTAATTTAAATGTTGTGATCATTCAGTCAATGTTTGTAATAGCCAATTAGCCATGCCACCAACATATTAGACGCATGGGGACACAGAGCCAACCCAACCTCCATTTATTCTGACATTGCACCTTAGAAGCCGGTGCATAACTTCTAATGTTGCAACAAATTAAGCTGCATTTTGATCATCTATTGAATTATAGCGTGAATTTTTAATCATTTCATGAGATGCAGTGTGAATCATGCAGAGCAAGGACCATTATAACACTCACAATTCGGATCATCCGCCATGAGACGCTTCCAGTCCAACGATTCCACCGTCTCCAATTTCGTAGCCACATTCCTATCAGGCTCGTTCGTCGCTTTCTCCACCGGACTCGCACTCGCACTCGCACTCGCACTCACACCACCATCCTCCTTCCCAGTCCCACCCTCGTCGTGCGCCACCGAAGCCGCCAAATCCTCAGAGGCACTACTCACGTTTCTCTGCCTCAATTCGCCAAAATTAACCCCCTCGATGCCGCCGCGCACGGCCGTCGGAGCCTCACGATCCTCCTCGCGCGCCGCCGCAACCGCGCACACGCTCTCTT